ACCTCCTGCTTCCTGCCTGTCACTTACTGGCAGGAATTTTGTTCAGGAATACACAGCCCACAAGTGTGGGGGCTTAACACTCCACTAGGCCAGCGGGGTATGGGAGCCAATGAATAAATGCTTTTCCCTTTGAACCCTGTGCAAAGTTCTGAGATGCATTTCCTCAAAAATCTCATGATCTTCACATGTCGTGATCCCATGAGACCGAGATGAGAGCTGGTTGCCTCCAGTGATAGCTGTTGGGGAAATATAATTAAAATCAAAATCTCCCAAACCAGAAATCTTCTCTACAGGGGTAATAAAGGAAGAAAGCATGTTTACTATTGAATAAGAAACAAACTAGAATACTACGCACATCACTGGCAATCCACAAGGATTGCAAACACAGAAATAAAGCTTACCTCCTTATATACCCAAGCATATACGACCCATCATATACATGTTCTCAAGATAAACAGTAACTCATCCTCAAGTAAGAGGACTTGATAGCACCATTTGCCACATGTAGTTCATCCTCTTAAATTTATCTGGTAATTGTGGTGACCATCCAAGTTAGCTTATTAGCTTTATCCAGTGGAAAAATAAATTTCTCATATCTTTATAACAGGAGACAGTTTGGCAAATTACAGCAAGGAGCCCACCAAAATTAGGCTCCTATCTTCCCAAAGGAGATAGAAGAGCTATCTCTTTTGATATTTCAAGAGGATGGCTCTCAAGCTTCCTGGATCATAAAACTGAAAAAAAGAAAAAAAATGGCCAGCTGACTAAAGCCCAATCTAGTCTAATAAGGGAAATATTTCGAAGAGATGAGAATATAAATTTACAATTATAAATTTTCTAAGGAAAGGTATCTAAGAAAAGGGAGCAGGAAAGAAAAATCATTTTCCTCGTTTTCAACAGACAGAACTAAATATTTTATTTTAAATTTGTATTTGTTCTTACATAGTCAATGCAACAATAATACATCCTTATGCTGGCTTTCCCTCCTTCTCTGTCCACCATTCTTCCCTCACTTCTGCTCCCTGGGGATCATTTAACAAAAACCCACCAACTATGAAAGCCTGTTTAGTGGGAAGTTTTAGGAAAGACACTCCATAATAAAACACCATAATCAAAACTAAAAGGCAAAAAAAATTGGATAAAATATTTCTCACTAATGAGAGATCAATAATTAATATTTCTAATATATTAAAGGAGTGTACAAATAAGAAAAATACTAACCCTGAAAATTATAAATTTTAATTATAAATCTTTTTTTCATCTATTTTAAAATATTTTAAAAGGCAATATTTTATTTAATCAAATCTAATATTCATTAATGGTAAGATGCACCATATGTTACAAGCCATTATAAAAGGAAAAATGCTGCATATTAAACCAGAGCCAATAACCCATTTTTTCACTTAATGGGCATTTTTCATTTCATTCCCTGTATTCTTCAGGTCCAGAATTTCTGTTTAGTTCTGTTTAGTTTTATGATTTCTCTCTTTTTATTGAACTTCTTATTTTGTTCATGTGTTAGTTTTTCTGATTTTTTTTTGTTGATTTGTCTATCTGCATTCTCTTGTAGCTCACTGAGATGGCTTGTAATAATGCAAATTCTTTGTCGGGCCATTTATAGATCTTCATCTCTTTGGGGTTGATTCCTGGAATATTATTGTCTTCCTATGGTAAAGTCATGTTTACTTGACTTTTTCATGTTTCTTAAGTCTTATGTTGCTGTCTTTGCATTGAAGAAGAATCAGTCACCTTCCAGTCTTGATTGACTGGCTTTGACAGAGAAATGCCTTCACTAATCAGCCAAGCTAGGGATTCTAAGACTCTTAGACCTTTTCTATAAATGCATCTGCTCCACACCTCTTGTTCTCTGTGTGGGCGAGGTGGAAATTCTTAGGGTCATAGGCCTTGTTTTGATCCCATAAAGCCAGGCCAGGGATTGAGAGCCTCCTATTTGTTTTGCCTAGGGCAGTGTTCTGAAATGCTCAAGTTTGTGTGCCTTCTCCCAGTCCTGCAGAGTCAAGTTGGTTGTCTGCATGACACACTTGCACTTGCCATCTGCAGGGGACACTCAGGGAGCCAGCCTGCCAGAGGAAGGGTGAGGCATGTGGAGCATTTGGGGTGCTGCGGGCCAGCTGAGGTGGGGGTGTTCCACAGGTGAAATGTTCCAGGTGGCTGGTGAGTGACTTCCTAATAGACTTTACGTAGCACTCAGTAGAGTCCCTGACCTCTCTTCCCTGTTTCTGGCATCTCTCAGCTTCTCAGCTGTACTGATTACCTCAGTATTCCGGATGAGATGAGAAAGAAGTGAGCCTCGTGGGCACCAACCTGCATGGCTTGGGAAGTTGGGTGCTTACTTGGAAAAGAGGTGATGTGGGTAAAGTGAAACTGTTTTTCTTACCCTCTTCAATGCATCTATCCTCAAATTTTTTTGTTCGAACGGTGTGCTGGACCATCTCTGCTAGACTCACAGACTCTCACAAGGGTCCACGGGTAATTATCAAAATTGATGCTTCTGCAGGGAGATGATGGTAGAAAGCTTCTATTACACCATCTTGCAGTGAGAAACCTGGCTCCCATCATGTCATCCTCTTGTTCAATCATTCAGTTCCAGTATACAGGGATAGCAGTATCAGAATTATTACCCTACCCCTATGGGAAACAACTTTATCAACAAGAATACAATATTTATGTACAGTTCATTTTGCCTGTATTCATAGATACTCCACTTGTTCCCAAAGTTACTTAGGTCAGCACCTGTTTCCCCCGGCCCCTTCAGTGAGATTCCTTCATATACATGTATTATGGTTATATTATTTTTCTTACATTCTGTATTCCATCTTGTTAAACGGAATCTGTTAAATGATTTTAAATCTGTTAAAAATCTGTTAAATGATTTTTGCATACATCAAAGTCCATTTTTTGCATTGTACAACACTATGAGTTTTGACAAAGCCATAATATCATGTATCCATCATTACGGTATAATACAGGATATTTTCACTACCCTAAAAACATCCCTTGTGCTTCATCTTTTTAAATGCTCCCAACCCACTTGAATCCTTGACAACCACTGATCTCTTTACCAGAATATACAATGTACATAGAATCATATATCACTTTCTCAGACTGGTTTCTTTCATTTAGCAATATTCCTTTGAGATTCATTCACATCTTTGTATGGCATAACAATGCATTCCCTTTTGTTTCAGAATAGCATTTCATTGTATGAGTATGCTGTAATATGTTTACCTATTTACCCACTGGAAGTCATTGCTTGCTCCCAGTTTTAGATGAATCTGCCATAAACATTCATGTACATGTTTTTGGGTGGATATGAGTCTTCAAATCAGTTGGGTAAATACCCAAGAGTGTGATTAGTGGATCCCAGGGTAAGACTATGTTTAGTTTTGTAAGAAGCTGCCAAAATGTCTTCCAATGTGGCTGCAACATTTTGCATTCTCATCAGTGATGAATGAGCATTCTTGTTGATTCACATCCTCTTCAGCAAAATTTACTCTGGCTATTTAAACCAAATGTGATTTTATTACAGGATAGCAGAAAGCTCAGAGCATTAATCTCTGAGAGCACGAAATCCTAGGCCCTGTGGCTCACTGCCTGGAGCAATGCCCACTTGTGCCATAGAAACTGCTCTGGCAAAAGTGACAGCCACCATTGCTCGGTGTGAGGTCTGCACACAGGTGCTCTTCCACCACAGGCCTTGAAATCCACATGCTTTTGTGTCCACCCCTGCCAGGCATCCCACACCCCTGTGCATGATGGCCTACTTACGTCACCCACCTCCTCTGAGGCTGTCACTGGATGTATCTGAATCTATGTCCCAAGTTTGTAACTGTAGCCCAAAGGCACCTGTGAACAAGAGTCTTCTGGCTTCTGCCTTGCAAAGCTAGAACTCAGAAAGTGGGAAATTACTAAATTATCCAAATATAGGGATGGTGTTCAAAGATGCTCTACATCTTTGACACCTGTGCATTACAGACTATCACTGCAATGCATAATAGCAAAAACACTGGGATGCAACCTAAATGTTCAGTAAAAGGCCATGATCAAACAAGATGCAAACCAGCCGTGAGAAAAAATATCATGAAGCCAGAAAAAATTATGTTTTCCAAGGATTTCTACTGATTTTGAGATACAGTATACTCATCCTATGAGGTTACAGGGAATAAAAGCAGTATCCAATTCTGTATGCAGGTGATCCAATTTCAAAAACAAAATTCTATGTATGCATAAAATGAAGCCTGAAGAATATAACACGAAATACTGATGATGGGTTCCACTAAGTCGATTTTACTTTACTTCTTACTCATTTTTTAATTTTCAATTTTTCCACAATGTATTAATTAGGGGGAAAAAAGCATAATGTGGCCAGGCATGTGGCTCATACTTGTGGTCCCAGCAGTTCGGGAGGCTGAGGCAGGCAGATCACCTGAGGTGAGAAGTTTGAGACCAGCCTGGCCAACATAGCAAAACCCTGTCTCTACTAAAAATACAAAAAATTAGCTGGGCATGGTGGTGCACACCTGTAATCCCAGCTACTCAGGAGGCGGAAGCATGGGAATCACTTGAACATGGGAGGCAGAGGTTGCAGTGAGCCAAGATCGGGCCACTGCACTTCATCCTGGGTGACTGAGCAAAATTGTCTCAAAAAAAAAAAAAAAAAAAAGTGTTATCCTCTCTCTACCAAAAAGATTTTCATATACAAAAGATTTCATAGTCCAAAAGAAGATACCATTCCCTCATCGAAATATAATTTACTTAAATGTTCTCATAGATTTAAAAATCAATTATAACAGATTCTTTAAAGGAAAAAGAAGTTTTAGCATTCTTTATCAGCATATCTAATTGATTTGAATTTCTCCACACAGAAAGTTTGACTCAAGCTCTTACTTGCCAGATATAAGATATGGGTAAGCTGCTGTGACAAAAAGATTCTAAAAGACAGTGGCTTTAACGACTGGAAAGTTTATTTATTTCTCCAGTGATAGTCCAAAGGTGAGCAGTCCAGGATTCGCAGGGTGGCTCTGCAGTATGAGGTTATTCCATGACTTGGGTTCCATTTCTCTGGTGTCTCTGCCACCTCCTAGAGCACTGTCCTCATGGTATGGTTGAAGCTGACTCGCCTCCATTCACGTCCATGTTCTGACCTACAGAAAGGAGGAGAGAGAAACTTCAGGTCCCATCACTTTGTCTCTGAGAGGATGACTCAGAGACCATTCAGAGCACTCTTGTTCACATGTCGTCTGCTCAGGCTTAGTCACGTGGCCACACCTAGCTGCAAGAAGGCTGGGAATTTTTGGGTAGCCATGTTCCCTGCTAACACTCAGAGGTTCTATCCCTACATGCAAGAAAAGGAGAATGGGCCAGTGCAGTGGAGCACCCCTGCAGTCCCAGCTACTCAGGAGGCTGACGTGGGCGGCTCACTCGAGCCCAGGAGTTGGAAACCAAAATAGATGTGTCAGGGAAAAATAACAGAAAAGAGAGAAAGAGAGGTGGGGGAAGGAAGAAAGGAGGGAGGGAGGGAGGGAGGGAGGAACGAAGGAAGGAAGGAAGGAAGGAAGGAAGGAAGGAAGGAAGGAAGGAAGGAAGGGGGAAGGAAGGGTGCTGGGGAACAACTTGGTATCTCAGTTCTGAATATCCAGCTCCAGGGTGGGCCTCCAGCAGCCAAAGCTCTGACTCGCACCTGTCAACATCAGGGTCCCCTTTCCTACACCCCTGCTTCCTGTCCCCGCTCCCAACCTCAAAGAATCTACTTCACAAAACCATTCTCCTCCTAAATCCTTAATCTCCAGACTTTAAGTCTTTCCTTTCTTGGACATACAGTGAATTCCCTTTAGGGCACAGACCTTGGATGAATCATTTCCAGGGTGTCCAACTCAGTTCTGGAACATCCTCTTCTATTCTTTCCAACAGTAAAAACAAACAGTGGCTCTCCCTGCGAGGGAAAGGAGAGCTCAGGCTTCCAGAGGATGAGAGAAAGTGTTTCATTTCTTCCAGATGGGTCTAGAGCAACAAAAACAAATTGAAGATAAATATTAATAGATCTCTATCCTACATTAAATCACAAACACATCTCTATGTTATAAATGTGTTATGGGCTGAATTGCTCCCCTATCCCCCTACCCACCACCATTTATGTGTTGAAGTTCTAATCCCTGATACCTGACTAGGACCGTATTTGGAGACAGGGTCTTCACATAGATAATTAAGTTAAAATGAAGCCATTAGGGTGGGCTTAATCCAACATGCCTGGTGTTGTTTTACGAAGGGGGAATTAGGAAACAGACCCAGAGAGACCCCCACCTGAAGACAGGAAGAAAGCCACCTACAGGCTCAGGAGAGAGGCCTCGGAGACCAAGTCTGTGGTCACCCTGATCTCGGACTCAGCCTCCAGATGGTGACAGGATCGATTTCTGCTATGAATCTACCACATGGGATACATCTACTGTAAGCGCCCGGTCTATGGTACTTGGTTATAGCAGCCCTAGAAAACTATTACAATATGATTTCTGGGCATAATACAGACATTGTAGCAGGAGGCTTATAAATATTTGCTGATTTATAATTATTGATTATTAACAGAGGGATTTAGCTCAAGAACTAGGGGTAATGAATTGACTTCCTGCTAAAACTAGTCCAGGCAAGCTGAAGACCAAGGCCGAGGACAGAGCCTCACTGAAAAAGGCTCAGGGAGTGTGAGAAAATGTGGTCAAGGAAAGCATCTTTGTCACTGAGACTGTCTGATAATTACTCATGACAAGCAGCTGCTGTGAAATCTTTGTCATTCAATTTATTTCAATTCCTCTGGAAATAATCGTAAAACAGTCTCATTTTCCAAGAGAGAAAAAAATAGCAATCCAACATTTCAGGCCAATGATCTGCACGCTCTACCAAGAAAACAGGAAAGCACGCCTGGAGGTGGCCGGTGCGGAGATCAAGCTGATGACAGCCCGAGCAGCGGTGGCCTTGGACCTGACTGGCCTGGGCAACTGTCCGTGTTGAGAAGTTCTTCAGGCCATTTTGAACAATGCAGAGGAGTTAGATGACATGGGAGCTCCAAGGCTGACCCTAGCCAAGAAAAGCCCAAAGATTATTTCAATCCAGATGGTTCATATCTGCTCCTTTTCTGTCTGTCACCTCCTTTTAGTCACAGCAGCTGTGGGACATTTCTCTGGGAAGGCAGCAGCACCCTGTTTCACTGGAACATGGATTTGTGTGAGGTGAGAATGCTGTGTTCACAGCAAATGTGGCGAAAAACAGTGGTAGTGTGTTTTTCTTCCCCAAACTTCAGTTTCTCAGAAAGCTATTTATGAAAAAGACTTAAAACCTAATAGGAATGAGATGGGGTTATAGAAACACTTATATATTTGCACCTATACATATCCCTAGGACGAAAGCTAAGCTGTCAGAAAAACAAACAATGATAAACATGAAATGAATGTTAAGAATCCCCACGTTCCGTGACTTCCACTCTTTTTATTTTTATTTTTTATTTATTTATTTATTTTTGAGTCAGAGTTTCACTTATCACCCAGGCTGGAGTGCAATGGCATGATCTTGGCTCACTGCCGTCTCTGCCTCCTGGGTTCAAGGGATTCTCCTGCCTCAGCCTCCCAAGTAGCTGGGATTACAGGCACCTGCCTCCATGCCTGGCTAATTTTTGTATTTGTAGTAGAGACGGGGTCTTACCCTGTTGGCCAGGCTGGTCTCAAACTCCTGACCTCAGGTGATCTGCCTGCCTTGGCCTCACAAAGTGTTGGGATTACAGGCGTGAGCCACTGCACCGGGTCAGTTGATTTCCACTCCTAACCAGATTTGAATCACCTGGGAAATTTGAACTCTGCACCTGTTAGGGCTGCACTCTCTGAGATTCTGATTCAGTTGATCAAGAGAGGGGCACTCTGAGCTTTTAAAAGAAAACACATATTAAACCTCCCTCCAGATGACTTTAATGTCCAACTAGGTTCAAAATATTGATCTGTTTTACCCTCTATGCTTTGTGGATGAGGAAACTGAGGCCCAGGGAAGAGGAGTAAACTGTGAAAGGCCACGCAGCTAATTAGTGGCAAAGCCAAAAATAAAACTGGCGTTCTGCAGCACTGTAGACCTTCAGAAGTTTACTTAACTTCACCTGGTAACCTCAGTTGGCACACCTGTTTACTTACAGTTTTCGAAAATCAGGAACAAAATCTAGACACTTTTAACTAGTATTGATCTGACATTTGGAGTAACATTTGAATGGGTACTGATTTTACAGGTGGTCAGTTATTTAATGAAGATTTCCTGACATAACAACAACAAAAAAGGCTTCCTGATACAGGCCTTAAACAATGGTAGCACATGGGAACAATAGACACCGTGGGTTACTAGAAGGAGGGTGGGAGAGGCATGGTTTCAAACCTTCCTACTGGGTGCTGTGCACACTGGCTGCGTGCAATATAACCGCATAACAAACTGCACAGGCACCCCATGTCAAAAACAAAAGTTGAAATTGCAAAAATAATTAATTAATTAAAAACAACAAAAACTGGTGACAGCAGGTGCGGTGGCTCACACCTGTAATGCCAGCTCTTTAGGAGGCTGAGGCAGGTGGATTACCTGAGGTAAGAAGTTCGAGACCAGCCTGATTAACATATTGAAACCTCGTCTCTACTAAACACACAAAAATCAGCTAGGCATGGTGGTGGCCTGCTCAGAAGGCTGAGGCAGCAGAATCACTTGAAGGCGGGAGGGGCAGGTTGCAGTGACCCGAGACCGCACCATTGCACTCCAACCTGGGCGACAAGAGCAAAACTCCATCTCAAAAGCAAACAATGTGATGGCTTGGATAATAATTGCTTATATAATGAGAATACCCTACACTAGGTGATATGTTGTCCTTGTGAATTAATATGGAAATGGATACCTGCCATGTTTGCGGGCAGAAAAACAGGTTTAGAATTCCACCCACCCCTGACAACTATTCTCTGCCTGGAACACCTCTGTGATAACAGACTGACACCCCTGAATACAGGGGTTGGCACATCATGGGACTGGATCGGTCATGATGCCCTGTCCTTTGAGGTTGGTAATGGGGTCATCCTTCTCCCAAGAGTGAAAGCTCCATTTCTACATGAGTCGTTTCTCAGCTAGCCTGGTGTCCAGCAGTTGTCCATGCAGACTGGGTCCAGCTGAGCTGCCTGGAAACCTGAGCTGGTGGTCACAACTGAAAGCGTTATTTAGTAATATCCCCTCTGCCTTAAGGACTCAGTATCTGTGGGTGAAGTCTTCTTTCTCAGGTTTATCTACTGCCTGGCAGCCACAGCAGCTGTAGCTATTTGACATCTTGATGGCTGTCTCTGTCCTGTGCTTTTATCAAAAGAGGCTGAGCAGTGGCCTTCCCAAGGAAAAGGAGCCGGGGATGTGTTTTCAGAACAGAAACTAGAGCCTCGAATACTCCAGCTCCCTTTGACTATATGTTGAAGGAACAGAGCAAAGACATTTTGGTCCTGTTGGGGCCCAGAAAATGACACCCTCAGTAAAGGCCTAAGAAGCAGCATCAGATGCAGTCTCTCCCTGACCTTCTCCTGCCCTCCTGACCCTCCTCCCTCATTCTCTCCTGAGGCAAGTGATAGAAACCAGAATCCGTCTGCCCCTGGGTGGGCAAAAGCCCTTTCCCCCAAGACCAACCATAAAGTCCAAAAATATGACTGTAATCCCTACCCCTTTGCCTTTCTGTGTGATACTGGCCATAAAGAAATTAAGACCCTCGTTCCAGAAGGGCCCTTCCCCATACCAGAGAGATGCAGACAATGCCTCACAGAGAGGCCACGGAGAATCTGAACAAACAGGCCTCGCAGGCTCTCCCCACCCAGCCTATTATTGGCGTTAGACCGCAGCCTTCCTGTCCAATCCCCTTTCTACACGCCTGTCTATACTTCACTGAACTAACACATAAAAACAGATCATTTTCCCTGTATCTCTAGGTCGGTCATTCTGAAGGCTCAACATGTCACACAAAACTGTGATCAAATAAATGTGTGCTTTTCTCGTTAACCTGTCTTTGGAATTAGGTGTGTTGGGTACCCTTATGATGGGGAGGAAAGAAATTGCCCCTTTCTGCCCCTGCAGCCCCATCCCTCAGTTTAGAATGATCTGAATCCTTTAGGCTACACTTGCTCTGCTGCCCAAAAGGGATTTGATAGTGTTTAATACAATTTCTTGGAGGCTCTAGGATAGAACTGAGCTCCTGCACTAGATTCAACAGACCAAACCGAAATGGAGTTACTCACACTGAAGTTTCCCACTGAAACTTAGTTGTTTATCTGACTTTCAAAAAAATCAGGAGCCAGAGAAAGGTAATAGCCAAATCTCCAAACAAGCCAGTTTGAGTCAGCACGGTAAAGAAGTTCCCTCTGCCTTAATCTTTACAAGGAAAAATAACTTTGCAATTACCAATCCGCTTTTTGTTTTCTGTTTTCTTAGGCCTTTTCTGTCTCTAAAGCCAATCTCTGCTTGGCTCATCAAAACACTCTTATAGAATGAGGTGTTGTCCAATTCTAGAATTGCAAATAAATGCCAGATCTTAGAAAAGATTTTTAAGCCAGCTGGGAGCGTTGGTTCATGCCTGCAATCCCAGCACTTTGGTTACCTAAGGCAGACAGATCACTTGAGCCCAGGAATTCAAGACCAGCCTGGGTAACATGACGAAACCCCATCTCTAAACACACACACACACACACACACACACACACACACACATTAGCCAGGTGTGCTGCCACACACATGTAGTACCAGCTGCTTGGGACGCTGAGATGGGAGAATCACTTGAGCGCAGGAGGTTGAGATTGCAGTGAGCCATGATTGCGCCACTGCACTCCAGCCTGGCAACAGAGGGAGACCCTGTCTCAAATTTTTTAAAAAAAAGATTTTTTAACTGAATTTGTTCTAATTTTGTCTTTTGCCAATAGGGAAATGATTTGTACTAACGTATAGGAATGGCCTGCAACCTGAGGTCAGCTCTCTTAGTGATATGATAAGTTGTACAGAGAATTGACTTTTGATTAATCCAGCCGTAGTAAACAGTCCGTATGTGCTGGGGGTGTTTTGTACCAATCCCTTGCATCTGGTGAGGATGGAGACGTGTCAACAGTCCCCAAAGTCAGGTGCAGGTAGGGTGCAGAGGGATGAGAATTTAAATCATGGCCTCCCCATGAGAATGGCAAAGACAAGCTACTTTCCCCTGGTGAAGTCCTCAGGCTGGGCGTGATATTACTGGCTGGTTAGCCCTTGGGGTTCTCGGAATCTGTGTAGTTTCTGCCTTATATCATCACCTCTATGCAATTTTTTACCCTTTGCCATTACATTAAGTTTATAATCTCTTGTTACTGTGTCTGTCCATTAATCACATTGCTGTCCCTTTGGGATAACATGTCTGGAGGTTTAGACCACAGTGGGGCAAAGATTGAACTGTTTCATGCTGTTGGATCTCAGGTTAAGGATTTTTGCAGGAGAATTTTCCCTTCTGTCTGGCTGTTTAGGCCACATGCTGTAGACAATTTCTGTAGGCAGCCCATTTGAAATTCACAAGCACACAAGGAATGGGCCTCTTCACGCTCTTTTCCTTTCAGAAAGGCAGATGTTTACTGAATAAGCCGGCTGGCTCCACCAACCCTCACTCTATTAGCCTTGATGGCACCACAAAATGAAATTCACAGTACAGGCCAGCTCATGTGACCAGCAAGTTCAGAAGATGGCTGGACGGGTCTGACATGATGCATAGTTACACAGTCACCTCATTCCAGCACGGCTTTCAAAAGTTCTCCGACAGGAGGCTTTCCAAGGGTGATGAGTCCAATTTTCCACTTTGACGTGTTAAAAATTATCATGAGTGATACCGAAAATTATTCCACAGATAGTTTTGGGTTGTATGCCAACATAATTTCCTATGCATTAAATGAAATTGCTCTTATAGCATTGAAAGGCCTATATTTTTCCTGTGGAAAAAAATACATAAATTATTCCTCCCAACCCCGGCTGTATGGAACTCGTACTCCCTGGCAGTGTGACCCCAGCTAAGTCGATTCCTGAAAACAGTGCCACTTCATTTTTACCGTCATATTTCAGAAAATGGTGGTAAAAATGAAATGGTGCTGTTTTCATGAAGCCTAGAATCATTCAAAAGCTACCAGGCCCTAA